AATATGTACAACAGCCAAAACCGTCCACAGCTAACAGGGGCCATCCTGAGAAGCCATACAAGTCTTACAAATACTAATCAGACAATAACTCTTAATGATGGCTTTAAAACATTGTGCTTTAATTATACAGCTGCACAATCAAAACTGTGCCAGGCATCCTAATAAGCCAGTTTGTACCCAGCTCACAAAAACCTGACCCTTTCATTGGCTTCGCGTCTCTGAGTCTTCATATGATAAATAGCTTAATTTTTCATCTCAGTGTTCAGACATGATTAAATTCAAATCGCTCTTCACCTTTGCTCAGCAACAAAACATGCGGCCCATGTGTCCTTATATCCGACAACGGAAGGACGAAGCCGCTTCAGTTTAGAGGCAGAAAACTCTCAGGCTACTGTATAGCCGTGTGAGAAATGCTACAGATTATGTGTATCCAGCATCTTCTTACAGCAGCTAGGGAAAAGGCAAGTCGTTCAAAGCTATCCTGTGAAGAGATATCATCCTGAGAATAAAGGTGGCATTTACAGCTCTGGACTTGGACTATTGGTGGACTTATACACTGCTTATCAGCTAAACCAGAAAGACTGAAAAATGACTCCCGACTGAACCTTAAAGTTCCCCCAACCCGCATCCAAGTAGGTTTCAGGGGTTCCCATGGTAACCAATATCCAGAACTGAGTATACCAGCCAATCTTAACTTCACAGACTACTAAAAAGCTAATTTGAGCCACTTTGTGCCCTGCTGGTTGAGCAAAGTGAGCTTTTGCAAGTACAAATTTTACTCTTTTGTGGCTAATTTTTAAAATATAATTTAATTTAGCAAACATTTTTAAGGATATCTTTGTTGCTGACCCCAACAACAATACCATCCTCTAACGCATTTGTTTAGTTTGGGGTGTTGGCACCAGTCGAGACAGGATTGCAGTTTTTTTGGCAAGCATCTGAATGAGTCACTGGAAATAGAAACACCTCTTCTGTGAGTTACAAAGTCCAACTTCTTCTTCACTGTGGTATTATTGTTTCCTTTTAGCTTGATTCACTGGATCACAGAGTTATTCAGAGAATATAGGCCAAGTTACTCTGATATCCTCCCCCTCAAGACTGTAAGGGGACATTCCAGCAGCTCAAGTGGAGCAACAATGAAAAAGGAGTCTCTCTTATTTAAGTGGATACAGGTCACTGAAAGCCCAGGCCTTTAGCACAGTAACCACCTTAAGGATCATGTTGCGGCAATACTTCTTAAAGAAACATTTCACCTTTGTGTAAATTCACTTATTGAATGGCCATAGAAACATAATTTCTTATCTGGATTAGGCACACGTGCATGCCGACTTATTTGCATGAAAAATAATGACTATATATAGATGCAACATCACAGTTCAAATAAAAATTGGTTTTAAATTATATTTAAAATGAACAATGATGATTACCTAAGTTCCATCTATTCATCCATCCATTCGCTACCGCTTATCCTTTTCAGGGTCGCGGGGGGTGCTGGAGCCAATCCCAGCTGTCATAGGGCGAGAGGCGGGGTACACCCTGGACAGGTCGCCAGTCTGTCGCAGGGCTAACACACAGGGACAGACAACCATTCATACTCACATTCACTCGCACATTCACACCTAGTGGCAATTTGGATTATCCAATTAACCTATCCCCACAAACTGCATGTCTTTGGACGGTGGGAGGAAGCCGGAGTACCCGGAGGGAACCCACGCAGACACGGGGAGAACATGCAAACTCCACACAGAAAGACCCCGGCCTGATGGTGGAATTGAACTCAGGACCTTCTTGCTATGCGGCAACAGTGCTAACCACCGTGCCGCCCTTACCTAAGTTGATTTTTTTTATTTATATAGCCACTATTAAGTTTGATCCTGTGGGCTGTGCATGTCATATCTCGATATAATCATAAAAAACATAAATGTTTCCATGATAAAATAGTGTCAATAGCAATATCTATGACATGATAATGCTACGTGTTTACGCTCCCTAGCCAGCACAACAATACAAGACCAGTCATGTCTGAGAGCGAGAGCAGCAGTGCCACCCTGTAATGACTATTTAGTACCTAAGGAGTTATCAGAGGTAAGATCTCCAATAAAGCATAGTATTTTGCAATGTGAACAAGAAAACTAACTAACTAACTAAGGTGGAAAGGATATACTTGAGGCAAAAAATACAGAAAGGGAAAAAAAGCTATTAAGGAACCCAAGGAGGACAGAGTAGGTGAAGGATTGTTGGAGCACTCGTTAATATATCACAGGAACAGTGTGACGAGGTGGATGGAAATCCACTTTACACAGTCTGACCCAACATACTACCATCCCAGGTAGAAAATAGAAAAGAAAGTTTCAATTTTATTATGTGACAACCTTGTGCAACTGAAGAGTTACAAGGTTACTTTAGCTTGTGTTAAACTCTAATGTTAAGTGGTTACTTTCTGCTTTTACTTAAAGGTTTCATTGAAAAACACAAGCTAGGCTGCTTTTATGCTTACACTGGCTGTGGCACCTTGTGGCAAAAGATTCATACTTTCAGTTAAGCAGTCTGTAAATCAGTGACAGTAGCTCATTGATGAAAGATGGATTTTGTTTCCACTATGAAATCCTACTGTCTGTTGCAATCACCAGTAAAACCTTGTTCTTTCTGTATATTTCCTTGAAATACCGTGACGTAATTTTTTTTTGAGGCCATATCACCCACCCCTACTGTGGACAGTCGTTTTTAATATCCACAGCACTTTCCAGAGGTGTCTGACACCATTATTATATGTTTACAGTGTAAATAACAGAGTGCACTCTAAGAATGAGAGTGAGTCTCCTATTGACTGTAAATAAATGAATGATAAGTAACTTAACAAATTGAAACTCTTTCCCTTCAACCCAAACTGGTCACTGCAGATGTCTGCGAGAGGTTTCTTCCTATTAAGAGAGTTTTTTCTTCCCACTGTCGCCAAGACCATGCTTATAGGGGTGTCATCCTAATCTCTGGGATTTTTATCTCGATTATTTTAGGGTCAAGTCTTTATAATCGAAAAGGGAGTGACAGTTGTTGTGATTTGGCACTATATAAAGAAAACTGAACTACATTTAATTGAATTGATATAAAATGGCAATGTTGTGTTTTATTATCCACAAAGCTCAATGTCCATGTGGATGACACCAAATTAATACGGACTAAATAAATGTCCATCAAAGTCTAAAGACTTTAAATGATTTATTGTGTCCAAATCTGTTCATGACTTCACACTTATATAGTTTCTAGACAATCAACTAAAGACTTATATAATTTCTAGTCTTAAGTGTTGAACAGATTTAGTAAAAAGTCTGAGAAAAAAGCAACATCAGGTCATACTGGAACTTCTGTAGACAGCACTGCTATCGATGAAATGAATCAATAAATAATGGAACTGAAACTGTTTACTTTACTTACCAACACTAGAACTGAGGGTCATTCTGATCTCTTGGCATTTTAAAACATATGTAACTCTGTTAAATTAAAACTCTGCCATCTCACGACTTTCCCTAAAACGGGTTTATTGATCATATAATGAACTTTGGAGTGTGTGGGATAAAAAAGAAAAAAGAATTATGACAACTTAGACATCGGGTGTCATTCTGACCCAATAGAAATTCATGTAAAACAGCAATTGCAGAATGCCGGGTTGCCTAGCAACGCACTTGTTTGGACACATTGTGATGTGATGGCAGCTTTAACATGAGCCAGATATAGCTAGATGATATTGATAAATAAATATATAGGGAACTGTAGTTGGATAAATGATGAATAATTACCGCCGCGCTGAAAGGGTCATGCCTGGGATGTTGAGCCAGGTCAGAGCGGAGGAGTGTGTGATGGAGCGCGTGGAGAACTGTAGCTGAACCGAGCAGAAAGCCCAGCATGCGGGGAATTAATCAGAGCAAATAAAGAGTGAAATCCAGAGCAGAACAGCTGAATCAGACATGTTTCATGCCTGGGGAGCAGAGCAGAGTCTGGTGGGCGGAGGCAGATGAGGATGTTGTGTTGTACTTTTACAATAACTGATTTAGTGCACAGTGTATCTTTCTTTTTCTTTAGCCAACTGTGGGCAATGACCTGTTCAATCTGTGTCACAGAGAGCACTTTGTTTTTTATTTTTTATACCTTCTTTATTTTAGCTAAACTAATACAGCCCATTATCCAAAACTCATTTTTAACTCTGTTTTTCTTCTACAATAATTAAATGATTTAGATCTATTATTGTGTTGCTTGGTATAATCTTTATTTATTAGTGAATTCCAGTACACACTTTAACTTTATATTCTGTAATGAAAAGATATAAATGTTTTGTTAAACTAGAACTAAAAACTAAAACCCCAATTTTTCAAAGTATAAAAAGCTTTTTTTTTGTTTTGTTTTAATTCACAAATTAACTTCTTGAAGAACTTACTTCTTTGCACACAACTGCTGTTGTTGCAGGATTGAGTCAAAAAGCCACCAGCCCACAGGAATCCATGGCAGTTCTAGTGCTAAATAAACACATCGCTCTTATTTCATGTCATGGTTTTTGTCACGTCGCGAATGTAAATCCAAGATTCCTCGTCTCTTATCTGTTTCTTGACCTCTTACAACTACTGAATGAAACACTGATTCAGATCAGATCTGACTCGCTGATAAATGCAGTTATTTCCACTGACTACTCATCTCTCTGTGTGGACGTGAGCAGGTAGTGTTCAGGAGGTCATCTATCTAGTGTTGCTAAAAATAAAATGCTCAGGCTTGAACCAAAACAATGAAGTAATACAAATCAAATAAGCAGAAAAATGTCCTCGAAAGTCTTTGCTCTTTAAAGAAAAACACTGCAGCTCGAATTTATGAGCCATCTATAAGCCGCTATTCATCCCGCCGCTGCTAGTATCTACACCGCACTTCACAGGAATCCAAAGTAAAACACACACACACCCTCTCACTGTTTGTTCTCTGCCGTATACGGGCAGCCTGAGGCCAGCGCGAGGACATACCTCTGAGTTTATACAGCTCTCCATTGACGGCGTTTACGATGAACATGTGCGGAGCCTCGTCGCTCGTTGTCACCGAGGCGCCGATCAGAGGCAGCGAGCCACGGGGCTTCTGGCTCTTCCCCTGCTCATTGACAAAGTACTGCAGCTGTCCCAGCTCTGGATCCAACACAAAATACCTGCACAGGAGGAAAAGGCAGAGAGAGAGAATGAAGTTAAGAAAGTAATGAACCAGGGAAAAGACCGGGGAACGGGAAATGGAAGAAGCACCGTGACCGTTATCATCATCATTTTGTTTTATGCTCTCATTATCTTGTTTACTGGTAAAAACTTTTTTTATATATTCCTGCTGCACAAACTTTGTGCAGGATGTGGAAGAGAATAGGAAAACAAGGCGGGGGACATGAATGTATGTGAAATGGAGCAAAAAGAGAGCTGCCGTAATAACACTCAACACCCTTAACATATCTCACCTCCCATGTAATGATGCCTGCAGGATATTATTCACCACATCTCTCTTCAGGCAGCACTCGTGAACAAAAAATTTTAAAAAAATAAAAAGAACAGCCCTTCATTTACATTAACGCCTGCTTTCAGCACCATCAAGCCGGCAAGCTTGATTCCAAATTACTCATGGTAGCAATTAGCGCGGTCATCTTGTGCAGAACCCACAGCCCGAGGCGTGGAAATTAAACCCCACATTTTCTCCTTTGTGATTAATGAATCGCATTCAATCACTGGGTAATTGAATCCCTCATCGCTGGCTGGAAGATGCAAAGCCAGTCAGGCAAACGGAGGCAGAGACATTTCATTTCCTGTGGCCGGAAAGGATCGCGTATGACATTCAAGAAGCTGGTCCGTCGGCTCTGCTTAACACTTTGTTCTGGTTCTGCAGTTCAGCACAGACCACAATGGCACTGGGTGGCTATGGCTGACCTTTTCATGTTTTTGCACAGAGGCCTAAGGCAATAGCGGTTGTCTTTGTCTTGTGTTCATGTTCAGAGGCGCCCTGTATCATCCTCCTTTCCCTGAGATTCAACCTGTATATTAAAAAAAACTAAACATAAAACTCTCCATGCACCATTACTGGAGCTGCAGTATTGATCAGCAAACCTAAGTGGACCTATTATGCTCATTTCCAGCTCCATATTTGTATTAATGGACTCAACTAGAGTAGATCTGCATGATCTGCAGTTCAAAATAATCTGATTTCATCCTACATTGGGCTGTGGCACATCGCCATCAAGTTTATCTCAGTTTTAGCTCCCGTTCCCAGTCCACTCTCCTTTCAAGCAATCTTTCATCAGACTGGCTGCCCTTGCAAACAGAAAGTTTGAACATCAGCTGGATTTTAATGATCAGGGATAAAAGCTACTTTCGGCTGCTCTGTTTTTGTGCTTTTAGAACAGAGTGCCTTTATTTGTCACTGTACGGCGTACAACAACATTTCTAGTGAGGCCAAAAGAAGTGACAGTCAGCATGTGGGAGGAAACCGGTAAAACCCAGATGAATGCATCGGAGGAAGAACTCGAGGAAAGTGCCGCCCATGTGCAAATCAAACATATGGACTTATTCTGGATTTTTAAACAAAGATTGAGCAAAGAAGAGAGCTGATTACCAAGTTACTGCCCATTTCAGAGTGAGCAAAGAAAATAACAGAATCCATCACAAACTTTATGGGCTGCTGGTACTGGTTAGGTACTGGAGTGCAGGTATGACACAACGTTTTTTAAATGACATCGCTGTACCCAAATCTACAAGAACTCTTATGTCACAGAAGACTGACTGCTGTCTCACATTCAAAACACTTGTAACAGTACAGCAGTCAACAGGTATTTGTATCCAAGTAACTTGGACTAGACTGCAATGCGAAGAGTTCAGTTTTTAAGGTGCATGCAACATTTTTAACGAAAAATATTTATCAGGCTGTCTGCGCCACGCTCCCCTTTTGCAGCAATAAAAACAAGTGACATGAGAAGAAGAGACTGAGAACTTACCAATGCATTGTGAGTTAAGCATCATGGAAATGTTGAATTATCATGGTGTCTCTGATGATATCCCCTCTTTGTGACATCATGCAGATCAGGACAAAAAAAAACTTTTTTTTAAACGTGGAACTGTCTGAAGCCTGAGCTTTGGGTTCATATTGATTACTTGTACATACACTCACTGACGCTTTATTGGAAACTTTGGCCATTTTATATAAACATCTACCATTGTAACAAGTTTTGACTTAACAGGTCTCAGCAGATAATTCATGACTTCGCAAAGGGGTGCAATTATTTTTCCACGTGGGGCTAGGAAGGTTTGGAAATTTTTTCTCTATATGAATCTTAAATAGAACTTTAAGGCGCCATCTATCCATTCCATGTCACATGTGTCTTTTGGGTGTCTCAGAAAAGCTGTTTACTTCATGTTTCAAACACTGGCACCGTTTCCTATTTTCTTCATAACAGGTTATATTCTTATTACCTGTTATGAATCTGTATCCCCCACAGTTTAATGGAAACGCATCAACTTCCTTTACCAATGTATCTGCATCATTATTTAATTAAAAAGGTGAAAATATGAGCCCCCATTGTTGCCCATCAGGTTAAGCTCGTGATCAGTTTTTTTTAAGCATTTGCAGAAACCCGGGTTCAAATCCACCCTGAGGCCATTAACTGCATGTCTTTCCCAGCTTTCACTACTCACCTAAATAAAGGATAAAAAGGTATAAAGAAAAGAACATAACCATCAGTTTCCTAGGACTATGCAGGCCTTTTAGATGATTAGGAAAAGCTGAGATGAGATGCTAGCTCTCATATCAGATCTATGATATATTAGCGCAGAACACCAAAGGATCATTTCTCTAATGACTAAAGAAAAAAAACAAAACAAAACAAAACAAAAATGTTCATTACCACAATAAACCAACATCTGCTGAACAGACACTGCTTTCCATTTATCATTACACCCTATTGATGTGTGATCCTCAAACATATGCTGGCTCCTAGTTAAGCAGAAAGTCATTCAAACTGTGCGACACGCAAACAGAAATGCGTCGAATCAATCTTTGTCAACTGACTAAACATTACGTTTGAAACATGACTCACACATGAGTCCAGTGAACTCAAAACTGTGCCTGTTTAAACTAAATAAAGTTGGTCAAGTCATGAAGTAATCTATTGATTTTTTTTTTTTTGCTTGAGGGGTTATTTTTATTGACAAAAATGTTGATAGAAACAGTGAGGCCAGCAAGTGTTGCACAAATCAGATTTTCATTGTTGTTTTTCTGTCACATCTCTGCAGCTACACTGGGAAACTGGGTTTTCCATATATTTCCAGCCTCTTTCTTCCATTTGCATCATGGTCATTCTGATTGGTTCCCAGCTTTCAAGGAGGTGGGTCGTGACTAATACAAGCATGTCAGAGGGGGCAACAGAAGGAGGGGGGTGGGGGTGTATGAATGCATAAAAGCAGCAAATGAATGCAAAGAGCACCTTTTTGTTGAGACCCTGATGGACAGTGAATGGCAACCCTCCTTCCTGGATGCATTTTAGGCTTTTTTCATGCTGCCTGCATCTGTTCATTAATCTAAAAGAGCTCAAAACAAAGCAGTTTGAGTTTATGGCTGGAGGCACGGACACCAGGTCAAGCTCTAACTAACAAATGAAATGAGGGATGCTGAATAATGTAATGTTTTACAAGCTGCCTTAAAAAGATATTAAAATACTCGCACTTCAGGTGAGTCATGACAAAGTTTCCCTTGAAAGCAAAACAAGCATGTGTGTGAGACGTAACAAGCAAAGCACACTGACGCGAAGGCTGATTTAAAATCTTGAGATAAACTGGAGCAGCGTATTCAAAAACCACTGCTTTAACAGTGCATATATCATAATTTCCTAACTCATTAGCTGCTTGAGCTGCTAACTTCTCCATCCTTCACAGGATGCATTTTTCCCCATGAACCCTCTCAGCTCCAGCAAGCACACGGGGAACGCTGCCGTCTGAAAATTGATCCTTGCTCACAGTCTTGTCCCCTTCCATCAGGAGGGCTGGAGATTTATGCCGACCGCAGCCATCCAGGGAACAATCTGCCTGCATCACTTTATATCCAGGGCTGTCTTCGTCGGCCTCACGCGCTGCATGTTGAGCTCACAGCAGTGTATCAAGTCTTATCCCCTGTGCAGTCAGCAGAATGGAGGCATTCACTGTTGAGGGGGTCAGCAGGGTCAAATGCGATATATCGTTCAGCCCTAACACAGAGATACAACATGGGCACTAAATGCATCGTGACCAAGCAGAACAGGAAGTTGAATATGCTCAGTAATATGTGCTAATGCATGATGAATGTGAATGCCTTTGTTACTCAGTTTAGATATTACAGTACCCTGGGGTGGGATTCTTTGTTGGCAAAGACATTCAATACCTTTAATGGACAAATCAATTCACTCAATGCAATCATGAAACAAATCACCATCTGCAGTCGATTTTGTTATCCGCCCTTAAAATATCAGAGAACGTGTCATCACGTAGGGTTTTATTGCTTCTAAATATACCACAGCTGTTTATTTTAAACCTTTATACATACTTGAATTAGAATTCATGTTCAAACTTTCTATCTCTAGAAACCTGTACGTGCACTCAGGAGCAGACATCTGTAACAACATAGAGCCCGCTATAAATCACCACCATAACAATATTTGCACTTTAAAAAGAGCTTAGTCAAGCACATTTGTCCACATCAACAGAAACACTATCATTTCCTAATGGATTTAACAATTGTGCTGCAGGAAATGGCTTGTCAGCAGGATTTACATCTCCTCGCTGCTCTTTTGGCAGTTAATTCTCAAATATGCTTGGAGGGACGTCAGAGTAGTGAATCACACTGATTATTGGCAGGAAAAGGGGGATCAATAAGAGAGTGATTGGCAACTATCAGGGAGATTACATGCTGCTGGCATTTTATTTTCCTGTAACATCATGAGAAGATCTTGACACTGCTGTGGCCAAATAAATTATACTCAATCATTTCATTAGGTACACCTTGCTAGTACTGGTTAGGAGCCACTTTTGCTTTCAGAGATGCTTTGATTCTTTGTGGTACAGATTCAACAAGTTACTGGCAACATTTCTTAGAGATTTTGGTTCACATTGAGATGGTAGCATCACACTGTTGCTGCAGATTTGTTGGCTA